AGGGGGGCAGTTTGTCCTCTGCCTTTAACCCAGTGTATATTTGCGCCTCCCCTAGGGGGCGCCATATCTTTTTGCAGATATGTTCTTTCAAAACTCAGGATATGTTATCTACTCCACAGCTACAGACAAAACAGTGAAAGCTTTGTTTCTCTTCCATAATTTGTTTTGTGATGAACGTTCATACTGGTGCATGTAGGACCAAATAAAAGTGGGTAAATTAACATCGGGTGTTGATAGAGCGCACGATTTGTTTATCTGTGTGATTTTTGCTGGGTTCAGAGAATTGAGAGTAATTCTAGAAAGCTTTTTTTCCCATTTAAGCACATTGTTTTGGACCTCACAGGGTGAGGGACATAAATCGCTTTTAAACAGTTTAAATGCACCAAGTGTAAGGTTAAAAACAGAAAAAAAGAAAAATTTGGCTCCCATACTTTGAAAAGTGCTGGCAGCAAATAATGAGTGGCACCTGGAAACCATTCTAGGGTTCGAACTGGGACTCTAATGGCTTGCTTCTTTTGGTTACCACTCCCTAATAACTAAAACTAATACTACAGAAAGTTTATCAAAATGTTGTGGATATTTTTTAATTAGTACCATGCAAACCCTGACTAACTGACTACCAAGTATGCCTCAAATGACGAGACATTTCTTACTGAAACAGCCTGTAACAGCATAATTTTTTGTATTTTTTTAATCGTTTTTTTTATCATTGCATTTTAAATTTGTTAAATTGGTCTTAGGTGGCAGAAGTAGTAATGATCTTTAGCAGGTTTTTATCTGATTAAAGAATAGCAGTCAAATCTATCTTTTCTATCCAGACGTTTTCCAGGAGTCAGAATGTTCTGAAATAAAACTTTTTTCACAAGGGAGGAACACATGAAATAAGACCAACATAAAAAAGACGGTTTTCTTTGCTTACTCGTTGCTCTGATTTATGTGTTAAACTAATTTAAAGGCAGTTTTTCCCAGATGTTTGTTCTCCTTACTGAGGAGTCGCAAAGCTTTGATGCCCTCAGAAACACAGGATTTATTTAGTTCTTCTCTTTGGACATATGCAGTCTGTTGTTATGTTGTTTTATAGTTATGGCGGAGAGGAATGTAAGAGACATTTTACTGTCAACAGCAACCATCAATAAGGCTGTCCTGTAATCTGCCTCTTGGATGTTTTATTTGTTTAAATGGATGAAGCTGCTTCAAAACCTTTTTTTTTTTTTAGAAAATAAAAACCTTATATATTTACAGATGTTACCCTTACAAAGTAACAGCATATATGCAGAACACAAGTGAGCCACAAGTATAATTTTTGTTTATTTTTCTGAATTTTTTTTTGTCCTTTTTACGTTCTGCAGAGGTTATGGTTGGCTTGCTTATGTCTTCAGTGATCGTCCTGATTTCTACATATCTTTGGAAAAGTTCCACCTGATCTCTTTACTTTCAGGGGAAGCTAATGCATTAGAGAGAACAGTGTTTATTTTGAAACTTCATCATTAAAAAAAATTTTCTTTCCCTCTCAACTCTTAAGGCCTTAAATAATCCATTTTAGTTGTTGTTTAGGACTGAGATTCCTCTATCGTACTTCAAAGCTTTTATGCTTCATTGCTTATAGATTATCCTCATGTCTAAGTTTATTTAATGCAGGTTTATCTTGAGCAATCATCTATAGACATGCATTAAATTATGTAACAATAGCTCCATATTTCAGAAAATGCAGCAGTTCAGGCTTGATAAATGAGATGGGGCATTCATCTGTCTCTTGTTTTTCTGTGCAGGTGCCTGTTTTTGCCCAGCCTGGCGCCCCATAACGCTCCCACCAACAACACCAACGCTTCCGGGGTCAGCGACGGAGCAGTGCTTAGTGGGATGGGAACAGGTAAAATGGATTCTCTGTGGTGGCTCATCGTTTATCTCTGTTTTTTTTCTGTTTATGGTCCAAATCTATGAGGATGTGACATGCAGGTGCTGCAGCAGCGAGCCACAGATGGGAGCAATGCGCTACGTTTCTTTATTGTTTCCGTTTTTTCTGAGTGATCCGACATGCAGAACTGGGCTTCTGTTTGACTAACGTGAAATAATATGTTGGGTGTTACCTTCGCCAAGAACGTTATGTTTTTAGGGGTGTTGGTTTGTCTGTCTGTGTAAAGGATAACGTGAAAAGTTATGGATGGATTTTAAGTAGTGCTGTCAAACTATTAAAAATTTTAAGCGCAATTAATCGCCAGTTTAAGCGCCCGCGGATCAGGTCGCCGAGGTCTCCGCCTCTGACTGCCACCCAATCCTCTATGCACCGGTCCCTCATGGTTCCCCCTGCAGGTGGTGGGCCCACTGGGGGATGGCCTTGCGTCGCTTCTTCGGGCTGGGCCCGGCCGGGTCCCGCGAGGAAGAGCCCGACCACCAGGCGCTCGCCGACGAACCCCAGGCCTGGCTCCAGGGTGGGGTCCCGGCTCCGCCGTACCGGGCGACGTCATGTGCCTCGCTGTAGTCCTCGTCATAAGGGTTTTTGAACCGCTCTTCGTCTGACCTGTCACCCAGAGCCTGTTTGCCTTGGGAGACCCTACCAGGGGCAACATAGCCTCTGGGATCACTCAGGCGCTGAAACCCCTCCACCACGTTAAGGTGTCGGTTCAAGGACAGGGCTCAGTGTAGAGCTGGTTCTCCTCCAAATTGAGAGGAGTCAGTTGAGTTGGCTCGGACATCTTCTTCGGATGCCCCCTGGACGCCTCCCTCGGGAGGTGTTCCAGGCACGTCCCACCGGGAGGAGGCCCAGGGGACGACCCAGGACACGCTGGAGAGACTACATCTCTCGGCTGGCCTGGGAGCGCCTAGGGCTTCCCCCAGCAGAGCTGGAGGAGGTGTCTGCGGAGAGGGAAGTCTGGGAGTCTCTGCTTAGTCTGCTGCCCCCGCGACCCGGTTCCGGATAAAGCGGGAGACGACGACGACGGCAATTAATCGCATATTATCAACAGTTAACTCGAGATTAATCGCATATTTTATCTTTTTATTTTATTTGGCCATTTAAAAATGCAATTGTGCAATAATGTAAAAAACACATGTAACAATAAGAAACGGCCACTTGTTCTAATATATTTTAAAAAATGACAAAAGTGCTTCCATAACAAATTCATGACAAACACAGAGTGAAAGAAACAAATTGGTTCTGTTACTGCATAACCTTAGAGCAGGGGTCTCACATTTTCCAGGCCAAGGACCCCTAAACTGATGGTGAGATGGAGCGGGGACCCCTAATTATGTATGAACTTGTGTTATATCAAACTGGTCCTATAGTCACTAATCTATTCTAACGAAAGTCATTTCTCCCTGGGATTTCTAACCTATTTCTGAATCTGATTCCTGGTTGATGGGACAGGTGTTGTGAATGACACGGTGCCCAGCTTGAAAGAGCTCCTGTGTGTCTCTGAATGTGTGCATTGATGACTGAAAGACATCTACTGCCTCCATTTATCTGTTTACTACAGTGTGTTAAATTCATGTTAATGTGGATTTAAAGACATTTCAATTAATGGAATAAATTGCAGGGGGGAATATAAAAAAAAAAAGTTTAATTAACCAAAACATTTGCGACTCCCATGCAGTACCTCCTAGGGCAGGCATCCCCAAACTCTGTCCTCGAGGACCGCTGTCCTGCAGGTTTTAGAGGTTTCCCTGATTTAGCACAGCTGATTATGATGATTGCAGTAGAGCAAAAGCCTGTTAATCAACTATCAATTAAAATCAGCTGTGCTGGAGCAGAGAAACATCTAAAACCTGCAGGACAGCGGCCCTTGAGGACTGAGTTTGGGGATGCCTGTCCTAGGGGATCCCCTAGGGGTCGCGGACCCCCGGTTGAAGACCTCCGCCTTAGAGAATTAGTGCTGATACAGGCACATAATTTTTTTTTTTTTACTTTTTTCACTTAATAACATTTTAACTCTTTCCCTTACCTCTTTACCTTTTTATTTTTTATTTTTCTTAAATTCTTAATTTGCACTAGCTAATATACAATTCAAGAGCTCATCTAATGGGTCAAATGCCAAAATAACATGTACAGCCATGTAGCAGTATTTGCTCAATGGCTGGATATAGATCTTGTGCTTCTAGACCTCACTGAGGGGGGGGGGGGAATCCAATTGTAAGGGTTATGCAGGTGATTAAAAATGGTAATTTACCCTATAAAGGGTTAAAGCTGGTTCAGGTCAAAGAAACTGTAAAAATCTGACCAAGCATTTAATTCCATGTTTTTCCCGATTCCTCATATTTACTTGCACCAGTGCTCACACATTCACTCCATGTACTTAATAATCAGCCCTTTTTTATTTTAATAACTTTCAGTTCTCGTCTGCTGGTAGCGTTGGAAAACCCAGAGAAAAGCAAGCATTTTAAAAAAAATGTCGTTTCAGCAAGAATATTACCCTACTTCCATTTATTAGCACTACATTGTATCCGTAAAAAAGTTAGATTTGGCCTGAACAGATGACCTCATCCCTCGTACAATTTTTTGTTTTTTTTATAGCGTGATGATCTCAAACTCCAGAGTTAAGCCTGTAAAAAGTACAGAAATTATTAATATTTACCGGTAATGATGCTCTCATGAAACCAACAATGGAGAAGATGGTAAAAAAAAAAAAAATTAGTTAGGATTTATCATCGTTACAATGAATCAAAATTAAATACACAATAACTGTAACTGGTAAGATAGATGAGCATCTTTACAGCAGGTAAATGCAGACTTATATGTTGACTTTAGTTTTTTTTTGTCAAATCCAACTAGAATATAATTTGTTCTCTGCTAAACTCTAATCCACCCTCACTGTATCCAGTTTAGAAGTGAAAAAAGGAAGTGAGGAGTTTCCTGAAGCTGCTCTGTCTCCTGCATGTGAGGCTGGAGGACATAGAAATGAGCCTCTGTGGCCAACAGGAGGTTTTTAAATTCACAGCCAGGAATCATTCTTTCTGATGTGACTTAATTTTAACAGAATGATTGTTTTGGACTTTGGTCGGCTTGGGCCGAGCGCTGTCCCTCTGTTTTTCACAGAAGCTGCAGCAATCACTGCAGCAACCAGTGACTCAGCATGTTCTCAGTTCTTGCATTAATCAGCGGGTTCCTCTTTCCTACGTTAATGTTAAGGCCAATAAAGGGAAGTCGGTGAGTGCTGGGTTTCAAGGTTGCTGCGTTTGCAGCCTTTATAAATTGACTTAAAAATGTAAAAGTTTTCAAATCTAAAATATTTGAATTCCGTACAAATAAAAATGTTTACAGTTTTAACTCAAATGGAGTTGCTTTGCTTTATCTGTTTAGTTCTTTGGGGGAATTTTGTGAAATTTTTCGCTTTACCTTTTGATATGAATTTTTTTTTTACTTTTTTCCCTTTTTTTAAGATGTAATTTTCCCACGTGTCATCATGTTTTTCCTTCCCTGCAAACAGGAGAAGCTAGCATCTAAAAGCAACATGTGATCAGCAACCTTCAGATCATCCAAATTGAACCAGCTATCGGTGAATTGGCTCTCCAGGTTTTTAGCAAAGAATCTTTTAAGTTGACAATGTATTTCCTAAAACAAAAGCAAATTGAAGCGATCATTTAATGCTCCTTTTTTTGACATAATAATAAATCTAATCTGTGACTTTATAGATGGAGCTCTATTATGTGTCCTCATTTAATATTTATGACGCACAGAGAGACTCTCCGTCTTCTCTTACATTACATTCTCCTGCTCCACCGGGCTCTAATCTTTCTGAGCTCTCATCCAGTGCTGATCCTCTCCTTGTCCTTTCCAGCCTGTTGTCTAGCTCTATTTATAGACTTTGCTCTGTTTCTCTGTCACTCATATTTTCCCTCTTTGTGTCCCTCTTATTTTTTATCTAGATATCTAATCTCCTCTCCTCCTTGTCGCTGCCTTGAATCCATCTATTCTCATTGTTAGCTTTCTGCCCCTTTTCTCACCTCATTCATCCAAAAGGTCTCCTTGCTCCTCACATTTCAAGATGTTTTTACCAACTGACAGAATTTTAGATCATCAAAATAATTTTCCTCAAAAAGGAATAGATTTATGTTGATTAGCTTAAATGACTGATCCATGGAAGGTTGTATTGTTTACTAATGTTAATAACCTGAGTAAATGATTTTTTTGCACCAGAAATAGAAATCCTCTTTTCCACTGGCTCTACTTGACCTGGCTCTACTCAACCAGACGTGCTTTGCCAGGGTTTCTATACCTTTTTTTAGTACCGGTACCATCTTTTTTTTTGGTCCGTGTTCAGCAGTAGGTGAATTCAGAACTGAGTGAGGCCCAATTTTGATGTAAAAGCATGTTTTCAACATCTACGCTACTTTACACTTATTTAAAGATAAAGCCTCATGCTTACAGGAGATGTGGTTTTTAGATTAAAGCCTTTTTAATAACAAATAATTGAATTAATATTGACAATATCAAGAGTTATAAGGAGTTAGAAAAAGGTTCTAAGTGTGGTATAAACTTTAATCTGGACTTCAGGAGGGGTAGTCACTGGTTCTCTGATTCTTGGAGGAGATATTGCTTTATCTTTTACATGATAAAATTGACATGATGATTTAAAAAAGTGTTAACCAGGTCTCAGTTTTAAAACAAAAAAACAATTTATTAACAAATTTAATAAAGCATTAAGAATATTTATTATAGCACATGGAGGGAGCAGCAATGCATGCACTCCACATGATCTTAAGGCGTGGCTGCTGAATCCACTAATGAATCGGTCAATGCGTGCACATATCAGTTGTTACCATACAAGAAAAAAATACTGGCCGATTTATAGTTATGTCTCTACGTTGCATTATTAATCCCATCAGACATAAATATCAGAGAATGTTATTGGTTTTTAAATTGTCCAACTTTAAATGGCCCTGCTGAAAGCAGGCTGTCTTTCGAAGTTACTCCCAGCACCAGGATTGTTTCTTTTAAGTGGTGTTTTCAACATTGTCATGGATACCACCAAGTAATGAAAGATAAGGAGGCTTAAACAACAAAACTAATTAGAAAACATTTAATTGTTTAGATTTAGAGCTTTTTTTTTTTGGCTCTGATGGCCATATGTTAGGGGAGAAAATGGCTTCAGTAGCTTTTCTGGGTTTTGCTTTGTTCGGTTTCCCCTCTTGAGCAGCCGACAGGATGTTAGCCGACACCCTTTGACCAAACCGTATGTGTTCCCTGCTAACATATAATATAGAACAGTAGGGGTACTGATCAGAGATTCATCATCCGGTCATACCCTAAAAGCAGTCCTCTCTTCTCTCCTCCAGGTGAGCGCCCGTTTCCTCCTCCCTCTGGTCTCAGCTTCTCCACCTGGTTCTGCGTGGAGCGATTCAGCGCGGCCCCTCAGGCCCACCCGGTGCGTCTGCTGACCCTCGTCCGACGGGCCACCTCCTCAGAGCAACACTACGTCTGCCTGGCCGTGGTTCTCTCCGCCAAAGACCGCTCACTCACCGTCTCCACCAAGGAGGAGCTGCTGCAGACATACAGTAAGAGCAGAAGTCTTTTCCATGTTGTAAACACAAGCAGTATAGATGCTGTTTAGTAAATAAACATTTTAGCTCAGCTCTGTGACTCATTGATTCTGCTTCCACCCCTGCCCTCCAAGCAGCGGATGAGTCAAGTGAAGAAGCCTCCTTCTACGAGATCCTGCCATGCTGCGCCCGTTTCCGCTGTGGAGAGCTGATCGCCGAGGGCCAGTGGCATCACCTGGTGCTCGTCATGAGCAAAGGCATGCTGAAAAACAGCATGGCAACGCTGTACCTGGACGGCCAGCTCGTCAGCACTGTCAAGGTAACATTATAGACGGAATGGCATTCACAGGGCGGGCAGTCGGCCATCGGTACTCAGGACTTCCTTTGCTTGAAAAGTTTTAAAGGTTTTATTAGTTTTTTTGTTTGTTTTTTTTTTTTAGGTTTTTGAGACACTAGTGGCTCATTTTGTATAGTAGTCTGACAGGAAAGGGGGTACAAAAAAAAGGCGAGACATGCGGCCAAAGACCGCAGGCTGGATTCAAACCTGTGTCGGCCATGTCGAGGACTAAGGCCTTTGTACCATGGTCATGCACGCTTACCACTGCGCCACCGAAGCATGCCCCAAAACTTTTAGTTTTATATGTTCAAAAATGTGTTTCTCTGGTTTCTAACTCGATAGTTTTAAATTATTAGATTTTCCCCCCCCAAAATAAACTAGTTCTCTATTGGCTGCATATAGCACATGGCTATACTACTGTACATCCATCCATCCATTATCTGACACGCTTGTCCCGAGTGAGGTCTTGAGGGTTGCTGGTGCCTATCTCCAGCAGTCAACGGGCGAGAGGCAGGGTACAGCCTGGACAGGTCGCCAGTCCAACTATTGTACATGAATACATAGAAAAGATATTCGAAAAGCTGATATGCAGCTCCGGCTTTCAGTGTTGTGTCCTTGGGCAAGACACTTCACCCGCATTGCCTACTGATGGCGGTCAGAGGGCCCGGTGGTGCCTGTGTATGGCAGCCTTGCTTCTATCATCGAGCCCCAAGGTAGCTGTGGCTACCATGTAGCTTGCCACCATCAGTGTGTGCATGTGTGCATGAATGGGGAAATGCAGAGTAAAGCACTTTGGTCAAATCACCTCCATTTACCATTCTAGCATGTGCAGCTGCACTCGCAGCCACAGGCTGGCAATGCGTCCAAAGCTCTGCAGTGGTGGCGACACTGTGTCAGCCGTACAGTCCTCAAGAGGAGAAAGGTCTAGATGCTGTTAGACATCCTTTAACCTTTATTTTCTGCAGCTACACATCTTTTGAAGTCCTCTATGATCTAGAAATTGATTTGTCCTAGTTGTAGCTTTGTGAGCAGGAAGTTTCTGTATGTGAAATAATTTAGAAAGAAGACAAACTATTCTTACTGCAGAAATATGACTTTGTTTACATTTGCCCGCTTTTACAGAAATAGTGTTGCACATTAGATTACTGAAGGGGTTTTAGACCCTTAACAGCTTTACCAGCTGATTATATGAGTTTACAACAATCAGTTTGGGAGAGTGGAAAGTCTTTTATAAATTCAAATATATGGGCAGAAAAAGTTATTTGAAATAAATCTGAACCTACCGGTTCTCTGTAGAAAAAAATTCTGGGCTACCAGCTTTAAAGCTTGTAAACTAATAAATATGACTTTACACACCCAACCACCTTCATTAATACGCTCTCCATTTGTATTATGAAATTTAGGCAGGATCGGGATGAGTCGGTAATAAAGATGACACACAGATACATTTACACTGTTTCTGCTAGAGTAAAATGTGTCGTTTTATTCCGCCACAGAAAACAGCAAAGCAAGCACATCAATCAAGGCACGGTGCTGAATACAAATTATATTGTTCCAATACAAATTATATTGTTCCAATACAAATTATATTGTTCCAATACAAATTATATTGTCTCCCTTACCATGACACAAAGGATCGGAGGGCCGGTCGACCCCGGCAGGGCAGCAACCCGCGCAGTTAGGTGTTCATACGCAACCGTAGCAGACTCTGCCAGTGCCAACCGCTGGCGCACGATTACACAAACGCATTATTACACAAACCAAAATGTTTCCGGCATCCCGTGAACCCACTTTTTACAGCATTATATCATGCTTTCAAGGAAACAGAAACTTTGATAATGAGTGTGCTTAGGCAATAAGAGTGCTTCATTTGTGATACAAAACTTGTATGATTTTCAAAGAACATAAAATATAAAACCCATATATATCACCTTTCCATGTTTTATGGTCCTTGTCAATGACTCCCATTCATTTGTATTGCCTAACCCAGACTAGGGGTGAGTACTGGCAAAGAAGTCATTAATCGATTCAAATCACGATTCACATGCCATGATGCGATTCTATCACGATGCATCATGATACTTGAAATATTGCGATGCATTGTGATATTTTCACTGAACACTGTAAGAAAAAGATACAGCCATTACCAGTGGCTGACTGGCTGGGTATGATCTGGATAGTGTCTTCAATTGAAACATCAACTCACCTCAACTCAACCTTATTGTCAAATGTGCTACATGGTAAACATACAACACAGATGAAATTTCAGTCCTCTCAACCCCACAGTGCATGAACATAACATGAAAGCAACTGAATTCATACATAGCTGTATTTATTGAAACAACTTTTTGAGGTGTTGCCATGAAAACAAATACTGGACAGAAATATTACTATTACTGGCGTGGACACACTGACAAAAAGATCTTAGGATTCATCAAACTTAAAATAACAAAATAAGGATAATCAGTGCCATTTACATGGCCTCAGTGGTCCTTTAAAACAATGAAACGAAAATATTCAAATGTATATTTCCTTTTGGAAATGACGTGCGTCATATCAATTTCATTTTTACCTTCTTTTTTTTTAAAGCCTAAATGCATCCAAGCATCTGACTTGAAATAAGATGGAGCCGCGGGGTGAATTTTCATAGTGTCCTCCATGTTTTATTTACGAATGACTCATCGCAGTATCCTGCGGCCGGACATTCTTGTGACATAAAGCAGCAGGCGTCAACACATCCACAGTGACATCTGCTGGACTGGAAGTTGTATTCCACTTGATTTGGCTGATGTGAGCCAACCAATCATGTATTTTATTTGTTCATTTTTTTTTTTTATAATCGATTCTTGCCTTCAAGAATCGATGCAGTAGATCACAAAAATTAGAATCGCGATGCATCGTCATGACGATTATTTTGCACACCCTTAACCCAGACCCCAACCATTATCAACATTTACCTAACCTGAACCTCAACTGAAATTCACCACTTTAGAACTAAACCTAACACCAAACCTAAGAAGAAAACATTTGCAAACTTTAAAAAAAAATGGCCTTAAACTATCCCCACAGAGTAAAAAAGAAAAGTCCATTCATTCATTTTTCAACCATTCTTATGCCCTATAACCCTGACAATAACCCTAAACCTAACCATTACCAATGAATACCTAAAGGTATAACTAAACCGGTACAATTAGTCCAGTCCAAAGCCCTTCTGTTCAGATCAGAGCCTCATGGGTGCTCAAAGGGAAGTAACTTGTGACCTGGCCTTAGTGTTTTCCTCTCTGATCCCCCCCAAATTTCAACACAGAAACCTGCCTCTTAATCAGCAGCGGTGTCATACAGCAGTCAGCAGACTGTGATGTGGTCTGCGGTGGAGTGACTTAAGATTTTTCTCCTGAGATTAAACAACAAACCACAAGTCACAGCTTCCTCCCTGCAACACTGATAACAGCGGTTTCATTTCCTGCTGAGGACAGGAAACGGCAATCTCTCCATAGCTCTGCCTGCATGTAGCTCTGTGTTTGTGGTTGATGCTTGTTTTAACTGAGCTGAAGTTGTAACCATGTTTTCCATTAACATAAATTAACATGAATCATCAGATCAGCCATTGCAGCAGATTAAAATCTTTTATTATCTGATTTAAATTTATCAAATTATCATTTTCTTTTGAGATATAAGAGGTTAAAAGAGCTGTTTTTAGAATTTTTTTCACTCGCAGTGAGGGATCATTAATTATTTAGCTGATATTTCACTGCACATGGAAACCGGATTATACTTATTCAAACCTTGAGGCACCGTTAAAAAATTAGATCCGCTTTTTAACCCTGCGGGCCAAAAAACTTTCATAAAGAGGTGAGCTAAAGAGTTCTAACAGTAGATAAAAAGTTTCTTTTCTTTTTATATTTTTCATAATTTTACACCGTCCTTCTTACATAAAAAGAGAAAACAATATGTATTTTTGTTTTTCTGTGAAAATTCTCAGTCATTCAGATCATAGCAATCAAAAAAGGTACAGTTACCATGCCATTCAAGACTTAAAAAAAAGACTTTATGTGATTGAATTTCATCACATGAATAAGCTATGCTGCCCCCAGTGGCTTAGATGTGCAATTGCCTCTAAAACTCTCTTATTCCAATGTTTGATTAGATTAGATTTTGAAGGTTTTTAAATAAAATTCCTTTTGATTTGTTCTGACTAAGGTACCTTTAAAAACATACCATTATAGATTGAGTCAGTGGATAAGTCCAAAGAGTGTGTAATAAGTGTTATGTCACTAAACATCATGCAAAAAACCTTAGGATTTAAAATTAGACTTTCAAAAATTACAAAATAATTGTTTATTTATAAAAGTTGTTAAATTGTTTTGCAAAAGTGTCGTGAAGGTTAAAACAAACCCTAATGTGGCGTTAACATTTAAAGGTCTTTTAGGCTCTTGTAGAAGCTGTTGTCACGGAGCGAGAAGCAAAACTAAAACAGCTTTCTCCATAGATGTTATTTTAATAGTATAGATCTTTAACTTTAACCTGAGATGACCACACTGCTAACACCGTCCGATTCAGTGTGGCCTATGACAGATGGTGATTTATTGCTCAGAAACATAACAAACTCTCCTGTTTTCTTGTTTTGTTTTGTATTCTCTCTCTGATGAGTGTGGTTGGTAGCACAACCCGGTACCATTCTGACTGGAAAAGAAGGGTCTTTGAGTTTCTGGCTGTTTGTTATCTGTAGAGGATGGTCAAACTGAAAATCAACCTATTCTGATCCCAAGTCCATTTCTATGAGGATCCTTAGAAATAAATGTAATGGCTGTGGAGAAATGCCTCCAGTCTGTATGTAGTCTCTGTCTGTATTGTATGTTCTGTTTTCCAACATCATTCCATTTCATAAAATTTTTTTCCCCCCACGTTTCTACCTCCTTCCAGCTCCACTACATCCACAGCACTCCGGGTGGCTCAGGCTCCACCAACCCTCCCGTTGTGAGCACCGTTTACGGGTACATCGGCACGCCGCCCGCTCAACGCCAACTTTCCAATCTGGTGTGGCGCCTGGGTCCCAGCCACTTCCTGGAGGAGGTTTTACCAGCCACCAGCATTGCTGCCGTCTTTGAACTGGGACCTGACTACGTCGGCAGTTTTCAGGCTGTCTACCTGCCCTGTGGGTGATCCTTCTTAGATGCCACATTTTGTTCAAACTTAACCATTTTTTTTACACCCTGACATCACTTGTGTTTTGTTTTTCGCAGGTAAAGATACAAAGGCGGAGGTGTCCCCTGCTACTCCGGTGGCTCTGGTCCCAGAGGAGAAAGTGTCGTTCAGCCTCTATGCGCTCTCTGTCTCTACGCTAACTGTGGCTAAAATCAGAAAAGTCTACAATAAACTTGACAGCAAAGCCATCGCCAAACAGGTCAGGAGAGTAAAGTTGGAGGCAAAAGTATAAGAGAAGCAGTTATAACAGATGGCAAAACACTATTAATGTGTAGACATTTTTTTCCTTTGTGACAATGATGTTTTTCATCATGGATGCAGACAAATGGAAATAATGCTTTTTTGAGAATGTTTTCGGGGGAAAAAAAGGTGGATTTTCATTATCGTCCTGTTTCCTTTATGACCTTTTATTCTCTGACATTTTCCTTTGGTTTGGATTCTATTTTACAACCATTGCATCAACCTTGCTTTTGCTTTTAACAAAATGTCATCAGATGATCTAAAATGTGGAGGATCCTAAGAAACGTAGTTGTAGTGCTACACTTCCAAAGATAAAAAAAAAAAAAGATTTAACGAGCATAAAAAAAAAAAAAAATCAAGCTTCTTTTTCACATAGTCTCCAAAGGAAAAGACAGCCACATCAGACTAATGTGCATTTACATGCTGGTGTGGAGGGATTCAATTCACTCATTGTAAATAAATGCATATCTTCATTTATTCTGTAAAGAAAATCTGATATTATGCAGTTTTTTCCAAATCCCCCCTGCTGTCATCACTTGGTACAGCCTATTTTTGCTAAAAGTACAGCACCGGATCCTCAGGAACATTTTGCAAAGTTGAAGCTAATCAACTTTAGCTCAGAGTCCTGGGTCTTTTCTTATGATCTGTTCTCTTCAGCTTAGCCCAAGGTTTTTCTACAGAGCTGAGGTCTGATTGACCACTTCTGTTATCATTTGGCCAACTGGTTCGACTCACATTATTGCCAAAACGACCAGTAACAATCTATTTTTTCTAACACCTATTTTTAGTTTGGCTGCCAAAAACTTTTGTTTCTATTATCTTTAAGGCTCCATGATGCAAGCAAGCTACTCTTTCACGTCACTAAAAAACAGACAGGCAGATTGATTTACACCCAATTCCACATGTTTACATTACAATGACTGGCTTAGATTGTGGCACCTAACCCTATTGGGATTATTCTGTTAACCCTGATGGGAAAGTAAATGTTGTAGCTCTTTTTTTAATGAGCTGTTGGAGTTGTTGATGGCTGTAGTCATATAGGATCTCCTTTAGCGTTCCATTGTTCAGGCTAAGAGAAATAAACTCATCTTCCTCCTTCCCTTTAGCTTGCGGTGTCCTCTCATGAAAACGCCACTCCTGTAAAGCTGATTCATAATGCTGCAGGCCATCTCAATGGGCCGGCACGTACCATCGGAGCTGCCGTCATTGGATATTTAGGTAAACCAGTTCATATGTGTCCCTAAAACCAGTTACTTAAGCTGCTCCCTTCTTCTCTGAATGGATAAAAGTACATCTACCCTCCTTTGTCTCCCCTCAGGTGTCCGTACCTTCGTTCCCAAACCCGTCGCCACTAATCTGCAGTATGTTGGTGGAGCCGCAGCCATTCTGGGCCTGGTTGCCATGGCGTCAGATGTGGAGGGGCTCTATGCGGCAGTTAAAGCTTTAGTTTGTGTTGTGAAAAGCAACCCTCTGGCAAGTAAGGAGATGGAGCGCATCAATGGCTACCAGGTGGGTCAGCTGACACTGTGGACTACCGCTCTGTCCTTTATGGTCCTCCAGCTGATGTTTTATGCTCTGCAGTCAGATAGAGCTTTTCTATGTCACGGTTAATCCGTTATTAGTCACCGTATGTATGATCAGGAAGGCCCTGTTCTCACTAACTCTTAGTTTTCCTTTAGTGAGACTAGTGTTCTTTCATCTTTTCTTTTCATCTTTTTATTGAACTGAAAAACAATATTCAGAGTCTTTTGTAAAGCTTTAAATTTGCCTGTCCTGTTTTTAAGACTTGCATGAATAAATTGTCCAAATTTTATTCTAAATCATACCTGTCAGCATGCAGTAGGAGCTCATTTGTTACTTACCAACTATGCTACTGAGAGAGTTTTTCTCTGCATGCCCCATCTGACAAAAAGGATTCAGATCTTGGTCTCCCTAATCAAAGAAGCAGACTTGTCCCACCACATCACAGTATCTTTTCAAACCCAGCAGAGTGAAACCTGCCCACTTTATCAAGCAGACATCTATGAATCCTCCTTACCATGCTCTCCTTTAGCTCTGTTCATGATTCACCTCTAAACAAAAAAATAATCAGATTTCCTGAGTATTATAAGCTAAATAAACTCAATTAGATTCATTTTATGTATGTAGTACCAATTCACAACACATTTTATCTCAAGGCATTTTAACGAGACAATACTGTCAGATTGGTTAAAAGTTCCTATCAAAGAAAAGTAGTTGATTGCATCCAGTCATTAACTTACAAGATATGCTCCTCTTGGATAAACCTTTGGCAACAATTTTCTCTGCATTTTGTTGTTGACTCTTCAGCAATCCCCCACACCAAGCATGCAGGTAGCGACAGTGGAGAGAAAAACTCCCTTTTAACAGGAATAAACCTACACCAGAACAAGGCTCACTGTGAGCGGCCATCTGCCAAGGCCAACTGGGGTTCAAGGAAGTAGAAGCAGAGATACAGAAAGAAGTAGAGATATAAAAGGCAACTGTTAGCTAGCTCCAAAGGCGGCCTGTCCAAGGAACAAACAACCAGGCTGATGAGCTCTGAGCTAGCTCCCACGTCAGAGCATGGAAGAGGGCACATACAGTTAGCCACAGTCAGAAAAACAGGGCTACACTGAAAAACAGGCCAAGCTCCAACATCCACATACAAAGGTGTTGATGTCAGCAGCACAACGGATATTTTCTCTGGAATGGGGTCACAGGAACAGACCAGATGAAGCTACTACAGCAAGAAAAGCAGAGAGAATATTAAATTATGGGTGGAACTAACAGATACTGCAGAATGGGGGAGTAGAGGTGGAATGAACCTGAATGATGAAAAGGGGTCCTTATGTGCTCCAGCAGTCTAAGCCTATAGCAGCATGACTATAGAAAATACATCAGGATAAATGACTATTTTAGATGAGGTATGGGAAATATAGAGCTAAGTAGAAATGTCTGTCCGAACTGAAATATCACCCAGCAACTAAACAAACATCACTCTGTTTTTAACTATAAACTTTATCAGAAAGGAAAGTTTTAAGCCTGATGACTAAAAGATCTACTTCCCATTCTACTTTTAGAAATTCTAGGAACCAAAATAAACCCGCAGATTGAGAATGAAGTGCTCTGTTAGGAACATAAAGAATGATCAGATCTCTGATATAAGATGGAGCGTAGTTATTTGGGGCTTTATACAGGAGAATGACTTTTTAACATTGATTCCTCATGTTTTCTCCTTTTAGCTGCTGGCTATGCTGCTTAAGAAGAAACGCTCACTACTCAACAGCCACATCCTCCATCTCACCTTCTCCCTAGTGGGAACAGTCGACAGCGGCCACGAAACCTCAATCATTCCCAACTCCACAGCTTTCCAGGACTTACTTTGTGACTTTGAGGTGAGCGCATGCAGAGTCACTGTTAGCTTTGAGGCTCCATTCTTCCTTAACGCTGACGTTTTTCCTTTTCTGATGCTTGTAATTGCCCGACACTGAAAAAGCTCCTGCTTTTGTTGTTCTGCCCCTCAGGTTTGGCTTCACGCTCCATATGAGCTCCATCTGTCTCTCTTTGAACATTTCAATGAACTGCTGACAGAATCCAGGCAAGAACAAACACTTTAGCTTTTTTATTTCCTGTAGGCATACCACACAAGCTAAAATCCTTTTGCTTTGCTTACACAGTGAAGCAGCCAAAAACGCTAAACTCCTTCGGGAGTTTCAGCTGATCCCCAGGTTGCTGCTGACGCTGCGGGACACCTCTCTGTCGCAGTCCACAGTGGCCGCCATCAGCAACGTCCTCAGCCTGTTGCTACAGGGCTTCCCAAACCCTTACGACCTGCTGCGGTGAGCACGCACCTTCACACTCCCTGGAGCTCAGAGGTTTCATGTTCAGTAGCTCTTATTGTGCAACGCTGTCCAGTAATAAGATATTAATATGTAGATACTTTAAAAAACGTTCCACTTTTCAATATAACAAATAATCTGTTGAGTTCCACAGGGAAAATGAATTAATCTGTGAGGTTGTGGGTAATATGCCCAAGCTGAGATGTTTTTAAAGACTCTTGTAGTTCACCTTTAGTCTGATTTGCTATTTGTGCTTTGCTAAAGTTCTTCAAGACTTCCAGATTGTGAGCATATCTTCTGTCCACACTCCTCATCAAAAGACTTTACTTATTTTTTTTATGGTTTAGCGCTGGATGCTTGTTTAGCCATTCAATATATGTACTTATTCCACAATGACATAAGTTTTGTTTTAGTTCATATTATGATTTTTATCACAATGATGTTTACACCTCAAGATTTCAGTGAGGATATTTTGCTTTGGAGTTAACTGGGATGATATTAACAGCTGGGATTTATCTCTGTCAATTTGCTCTTGATGTTTTAGGATAAGTCATGTTTTATTGTTTGGTCATATGACGGTGACTGTGATGCAGCAAAGGGTTGTGGGTGTTTAACTAAAGCAAAGGGCTAAAATCAGAGTTCCGGTAGATTTTTCTGTTTGCACAGTTTTTTAAAGAATAGAGAATTATAATGCCTGTTGCATCTGGTGCGTCCCTGAACAGCTTTTGTCTTGTTTTATAAACATTTTGAGAAAGTTGCATTTTATGTTGCTATGGGCTTTTTTTTCCTGCACTTCTGAAAAAAAGTTTAGGTAGAATTCCTGATAGGCATAAGACGGAAAAACTGTTTTTGGAGTTTCTGAGCTTTATTTAATGTAAATGAGATTAACTTTAGTTGATGGCAGATGACTCGGAAAAGCTGAATCCTGCAATTGAATTAATGTTAGTTTCATAAAATATCAGTTTTGCTTTATACACAAAAAACAGCTTATTGAACCTTTTTATCTTACCTGCAGCAGGTTTGCTTTTTTTTTTTTTACAGTTGCCTTGTGCAGGGAATGTATTTCAATAAACTAAAATAAAAAAAAAATGAAACGATTTATCTTCCGTTTTTACAGTTTTTAGAAGGACGTTAGGATTTTTTAGTCAGCGCTCTTGATTTGCATGGCAGTAGCTAAATATGTAAACGTGGTGTTACTAGAAGAGCCAACAGACGGAGTGAGGAATTAAAGTTTTTTTTTTCTCTGCCTCACAGGTTTGGTCAGTTCATCTCCTCGACTCTTCCCACTTTTGCTGTGTGCGAGAAGTTTGTCGTCATGGAAATCAACAACGAGGAGAAGATTGATGGAGGTGAGGGTGAAACCCATTGAATCGCTGATCTTTAGCGTCCCTCTTGTGAAGGATCCTTTAGGAGAACCTTTAGAGAAGTTATTCTAAAGTCTTTGGAAACATTTGCAGGTAATGATGACGATTTCAGCGGCCTACTGTCAGCCAGCCTGATCTTGCTGAGAAATCGACTTCTGGATAACCTCCTTAAGCTGCTCTTCACCACCAAAGAGAAGTGCACAGTTAATGTCCAGTAAGATCCGTCTTCTTTTTAAATGAAGTAAAAGCTCTAAACATAAAGCCCTGTGGAAAATGCCTTCAGGTTATTTACATTGAAAACATTTTATTATAGTGCCTAATGTGTAAATGTGTGACCTTAAAGCAAATACAACAAAATAGCAGCTGCATTTTTAGATTCAAACAAGGAGATTAGAAAGATTTGTTCTTGCAGGGCGTGTGAGGAGCTTGTGCGAACCCTCGGCTTTGATTGGCTGCTGATGTTCATGGAGGAACATCTCCACTCCACCACGGTGACGGTGGCGCTCCGGATCCTGGTGGTCCTGCTGTCAAACCAGCCCATCCTGAACCGCTTCAGAGAGGGCCTGAGTGGAGGCGGATGGCTGGACCACACCGACTCCGTCCTGACCAATAAGATCGGCACAGTTCTGGGTGAGCATAAAGCCCCCCCCCCCCATCGCATGACTGACACTTCAACACAGATGCGAGCCTCAGTTTGGTTAAAGTTAGGCTGTTTTGTTGCATGAAGAGAAACATTCAGAGGTTTGCAGTCATGATGTCTAGCATAAACCCCTTTATGTTGTAACATGGCCCAGCAGACGACGCTCCTCACTCTGGCAACGCTTTCCGTCGGAGCTGGCCTTCGTTCAGTAAACAGAAAGCTGCACAGTTTGTGCGCCGCACGGCCAAGGGTTTGTCCTCTTGTTATTCGCCCTTCTGCCTCCCCTTGCTGCAGATCTCATAGTTCCTCCTGAGCTCAGTGCTTTTCAACCTACTCCCAATGTCAGATTTCGACCTAGATGACTTTATTTAAATAATTAGATCAACTCACCCTCTTGCAGGTTGAGAACCATTGGTTCTGCTTTAAAAGCTCTCCCAGTAACTCACAGTTTGTGCTATAAGGATTCCTTTAGTTTCATTCTGATTTATACTGCAAGTGTTTGGTAAATATTTTAGCTCCTCTGAACCCAAAACCAGGCGCAGAAGTCCTGTTTAGAGCTGCCTGTAGGTGCCTCAGTCACAGGGAGACCCCTCAGCAAACCCACTTTATTCACTCCTCAGTTTGTTCTGCTAAATCCTCCCTAGGCTTTAACGTGGGTCGCAGTGCCGGGGGTCGTTCCACGGTGCGAGAAATCAACAGGGACGCCTGCCATTTTCCAGGATTCCCTGTTCTGCAGACTCTGCTACCCAAACACACCAATGTTCCTGAGCTCTACTTCCTGCTTATGGCCCTCTTCCTGCAGCAGCCTGTCACTGAGCTGCCAGACACCCTGCAGGTACATGTTAGTATACCCATTTTCTACTCTCTTTTTACACTTAAATTATTACTATATTATTACTCTTTTGTGTTTCTAGCTTTGCACTGCTGTACAAATAAAATTTGCTCTCTCTAAAAAACTGCTGACAGGGTTTTTTTTTAACCTGTGAGGTTCCCCAAGGGTTAATGCTTGGCCCACTGTTATTTTTATAACTGGATTTCTTTTTTTTTTTTTGTAGCAGTGCTCATTTATGAGTGTTGAAGTTACCTATCATGATCCCAACTTTAAAAAAGAAAGACCGGCTTTCTGAAACTGAAACAATGGTTGTAGGCCACTTAAAGAGTGCTTTACCCATAGCCATGTAATAAATCCTTTGGGCAGATTATTTGTAAATTGGGGATGATTTATGTTTCCAACTTAACTCAGAACATGCATGCAAAATCTTTTAGTTGGTTTTAATTATACTAAAATAACTATTCATTTATCTTGTATTACCTCCATGCAGATAAGCAACTGAAAAATTAAATGTGTCAGTTTGAGTCTATATTAACCTAGTTTGTGTGTTTTTCCTCTCAGTTTGACCTGGATTCCATCTGGACGTTTATCTTTGGGATGCCGGCCTCCAGTGGGGCGGTGGTGGGCTCCATCCACAGCGTGTGTACTGAGGCGGCCTTCCTGCTGCTGGCCATGCTGCGCAGCATGCTCAATCTGGTAAGAACTTTTTGTTTTTTTGATCGGTTTTATGCAAAAACCAGAACCAAAGCATGACTGCACAAGCTTTTCTTTTGGAGTATTTCCTAGTAGCTGTGTGGCTAAATAGCAATATTTTTTTATTCCTGTCTTGGTTGAGTGTCACCAGCATCATCAACAGATAATATGGGGCTGTAAATAGTTGGCACATCTGGTAGTAACATATATCACAAATAAAATGTATCTTTATTTGTAATTACTGCTCTGAAGCTTTAGTGTCTCAGATCAAATATATCAAATATAAACCAAACACTTGAAATACAATATGTTGCCAAATACTGCAAAATACCACAATTACTGGTCCCCATGTTGTCAGCTTTGATCATCACATACCTCTTGACTCCCCAGAGGTTTGAGTTCCTATCCGATCCTGTGTTTTTGCCCAGATAGACTAGAGGTGATTGTGTATCTTGAGAACTATCAGGGTGGATTTTGCGCCTTGCTATCGATCATTGTCTGATAGACACGACGATGACCTGTTTTCAGCTTTCTGGGAGAAGCAAACAGTTATTTTAATTGGAAAAAAATGTCCTGGTTTTTCCAAGTATAAATGATATTCAGGATCATTGAAAAAACAAACAGATTCTAGTTATCACAGATCAACTAGAAGTTTTTCCATATCAACATCTTTTTGGTTTACACCAGACCTACGTGGAGTATGTTTTCTTAAAAGGTTGATTTTATTCTTTCCTGACCTCGATTCTGGTTTGCTCTCAAACTTAATCTCTAATAGTTATGGATCCTTGCATATGATATTGATTTTACAGCTATATTAGCTCTGAACAGTTATAGCAAAATAACAGTGATTATCTGAAATAAGTGTTTTAAAGTGAAGTATTCCTACCACAGATAAGAATATCTGTGGAACGTCATCTAATTACATCTTAACTTGGAACCACATCCTCAACTTTAGTCGTTTAGTTTTTGCTTTGCAAGTTGGTGACTGTGCTATGGAAAATTTTAAAATTGAATAAGCTTACAGGATGGGAAGCGAAACTTCTTCAAACTTGGAAACGTTTTTAGCTTTTTTGTAAAAAATTACATTAAAATTAAAAATGTTCAATAGTTATTTTATTAAACCT